TAAACGACAATGCTGCATATCGCAGATATTTATCGTCCACAGAAGCTAGCCAAGTACCGGATAATCACTAAAATTTTCGAACGACGTCTCTTAACGACTGTGTCAAAATAGTAATGCATGACAAATGAACTATTCTGAATATGCATTAATCTCTGTGACATATTTCGAGTTGCATGCGGTAATAATTCCCCGGCGCGTAATCGATATGTTTTCTTGTGAGAGAAAAAAGGCCGAAAAGATGAATGAAAGAGAAACGTTACGTTACACGAAGAAGCAAAAACAAAAAGGAAAAGTTCAAAAAGCCACCAGAGGGTGCAGTATAAAGAAGTTTAATTTAACCTTATTGCGTGCACGAAAGCGTTATCGTCTTCTCGCTTCTCATGAATAATTCAGTAAACCTTGAACCGGTAAACTCCGAAAATTGCTGCACGATTTCGCCCGTGTCATTTTCTTGCAGCACAATACATGCCTATAATGAGTTTAATTAAATTAGTCGTTTAATTAGATCATACATTTTAAAATTAATACGGCACTCAAATATATATATATTTCGGAAAATGCGCTGATAATGGTCAGCAATTCGCGCGGCAATAGTTGCGCGTAAATGTTGTATCTTGGCAGGGGGACAATAAATCAGAGATTTGGATAATCGGATAATTACAATGTTTAAATACAAATGCGCGTTGCATAGAAATAGCAATCGCGGTACCTCGAAATTTCACTCACGTCATTCTCGACATAAACGGCTTCTATCAATGTTACCGAGATGACGCGTCGGGATGCTTCGTTCGAGATACCGCTGCCGTTTGTAAAATATGCATGCGATGCATCGATGCACTTGCGAATGCGTTTGAACTGCACTTACCGGCGATCTCAAAACGTTCTAATTTACCACGGACCCCTTCAACTCCGACTGTATTTGCACCACGTGACGGGAATCTAACAAGGTATACACACAGAAGCACTTCAATTTCGCTGTTCTTTTTCCCGATATAAATTAATATTCATGTATATGCGCGTAACATGTATGTGTGTGCTGAATTTCATAATTCACGGCCCGTCAGCCCGGCTGAATTCTCTCGTCGGGATACATTTTCCGGTCCGCCGAACCGCGCATTATTATTTTATATCAAGAAGCTGCGATAGGAAAAACGTTAAAGCAACTTTACTCGTTAACGAACGTTGCGTTTCACTCTTAACATTTCGAAATATCCAATATATCCATCGCAATTATTCGCGCGTATTCGCGATGGTTTGAATCGCACGAACCTCTCCGCGCAGAGACATTATTTCCCGAAGGTGTAATTTTTTTCCAATCGGCTAAATCGTACGTTAACGACGCGCTCTTCGTTATCTCCTCGCCGAGCTATGTTTTATTCCGATTGAGACGGATGTGGAGCGGAAAGCGTTGAGCGTCGACACGTCGGAGCCGCGTGAGCTTGCGACGCGTACGGTATGGTCCTGGTACAATTATCCGTTATCGCGATCCTGCTGGGACAGGGACGGTTAATCCACCGCACCGCAGTAACTCTTAGGGATTTGACGATTAACCGGTTCGAACACCAGCCAGCCGGACTGTCCGGATTCCCAGTGTATTATCGAGGACTCGTCAACCGCCATGAGTCACCCGATCGACCGTTCGAGCATTAAGTCCAAGTTAATATCGCCGATCTACTGTGCCGCTGCGATATTCGCGAGCGCGGCCGAAGATCCAATTCCATCTCGTAATTAAATTCACGTACGAAAAACGAGCGTGGAGCCTCTTCCGCTGGCCCGGCTCCCTTCCCGGTGCTACTAAGGGGCACGCAGTCGTATCCTTCCTTCGAATATCAATCCCACGGTCTTTAATCTCTCATCGATTTAACCATATATTTATTTTAACTTTGCTGACTTTAATTTCAAGCTAGCTGTTAAAGCTCCAAGCAGAAGATTATCCGTATAAACTCGCGCTTGCAATGATTTCCTTCCCCTCCAAATCTCGGCTAAATAGAGAATCCCCACTGCGACGCGTCAATGGAGCGCTCCTCGTATAATCGATTCGCCGGATTCAGAATTCCCGATTCCTGGATACCCTATCGCGTAATCACAACATGGTCCGAAAAGCGAAGAGAGCTCTCTCTCTCTCTCTCTCTCGCTCGCTTTCTCTCTCTCTCTCTCTCTCCTTCTCTCGGCAGATGGATAGAAATCGAATCGCCCGCGTGTTAGCGGACAGAGCCGTACCTCGTCCGAATTGTCACGCGTATGTCGCTTTATCCCTTTATCCCCTAGCAGGTTCAGAAAACGTATTTAGGTACTGAGGCTCTCCGTGGGGGCGAGTGCCGGACGCGGACTTTCTCAGACCAGCCACCAACCACGAACCACCACCAATCATCACCACCACACATCCACACACCCACAACCGCACACAAAAAAAATCAAACACAAACAGCCCTATCCCTGATCGCTTCACCAGCACGGTGAGTCTTACTTCTTCTTCGTTCTATATGATACCCTATTTTAATCCTCCGTCGCGACTTTCTAGCCTCTCGGGAGTAGCGTCTGAACGCCTGTGGGGGAGCGATCGAAATTGATCTCTCTAATCATGCGTCGAAATTAACGTGCCGTTGCACGAGGGATGTCCTGGAAAAGAGGCTCGCGCTTCTGAATTTATTCCTCGCTCAATAATAATTATTATTATTATAATCTTCCCTCCTTCTCTCTCGACGAGACGTTAGCCGTCAATGAATCATTAACGTCGCACGGAGAAAAATAATTTACCGGTACAGCAAATTCTATGCTGTCGCAGCAAAATCTGTCAGTTATTATATGGACAGCAAAATAATTTGTTAAGAACACTAATTGCCATTCGCTGGATTATTTTGCTGAATCTACAAATTATTTTGCTGTAAAAATAGATTTGTAATTATAGAGAAACTTCATTATTTCGTTCTAACAGCAAATTAACGTGCCCCGAGGAAAAATCCACCCAGCAGAATATTTTCTATCCCGACGACAAAACTGTTTCTGCTCTAATTACGAATAATTCGCTAACTTAGCGATGCTAGCGAAATGTTATTGCAGTCGCAACGAATGTGCAGTATGCAACTATGGGTTCGCTACAACAGCAAAATGATTTTTCTCCGTGCGATGGCGAACGAATTCAGACGCGATCTAAAAGCGATAACTGGATATAGCTTTTCGGCGAATCTTTAACCCAGGGGCAATTTAATTTAAGGGTTAATTGCGACGCGTCCTGCGCCTGATACCAACAATTAAAGTGCAAATTTATTCTTCGTCCCAGGAAAACTCCGCTCGCGTCGACTGCATCGGTAATAATTCTCTCCGCTATTCACCGGCAACTTTCCAGGGACATCCCCCGGTGTTTTGCTCGCTCGCAACGTATTTCGTATTTTGCCGTTACGCGAACGATCGATTCACTATTTTCGATGCGTAATGCCATCCCCGCGATATTTGACATTGCTGACGAGTAAAATTAATTAGATCTTAGCGTCGTTATCGTACGACTAGTTTTCGCGAAGTTATTACGAGAGGCGCCGTGTAATTCGAAATACGCCGCGGGGCATTCGAGAAGCAGACACTTTCCCTCAGGTTTCACGTACTCCGACCGAGAGGTAGACTACTATTTTCTTATTTCGCTGTTAATAGCTTGGCTTTGCCCTTGTCTTCGCACGTTTCTCCCTCGCTTACGCATTTCTCGTATTAAAGGATCCTCACACTTATTATTCCGCCGCCGGTAACCGATTGTTGTTGTTGTCGCTACAAATAGCGTACGCTAATACGCTCATTAATTCGTCGATGTCGTTAAACAGTAGACGACCCAGTATGAATAATAGACGACTTTAGTCGAGTACGAGTTTCATTTGATTCACGTATCGAGCTCGAACGTGCGACGAACGTTATTTATTCATGTATGATTTGAAAATGAAACGTGGCGCATGGTAAACGTAGCATGGTATACAACGGTGTACGCTTTCGCATGTATTCGTAAGCTTCGAACGTTGCGGTGTTACAGGCTTCAGTTTGCAAGCTTCCGTTCAAGTCGTAATTACGCATTTTTATTGATTTATTCAGAAATCGTCTCGTCAGTCTGTTTTAGAACGTAGAACGCCACTTGTCATTTGTTTAAGCAGTCCACGTTTCTCTTAAGTAAACACGCGCATATTTTATACATTAGGTTTGGGCGAGGCAATGTAAACGAAGATCGCAAAGATAAACTCGGTCACTGCAAATAGATTGCAAGTCAATCAGTGAACATTTGTTTGATTAATCGAAGATGAATAAAAAATATTTTGCAACTGCAATCGATAAATATTCTGTCATTATTATCTCGTTATCTTTTACAAGTTGATGAAAATCATTATGTAGAATCATCTCTTCGCATAAAATGTCAATTTCTGTAATACATAATTTTTATCTAATCAGAATTAGTATTGAAGAAACTTGGGATATACTTCGCTCATCAACAAACAAAAATGTGATCTTAAACCGCATTCGCCAAAGCCTAATTCATATATTAGCGGGATAATCTTAAGTTACATCGCTTGCCTTATTTTAAGACAGCTTATTTTAAGTCATTTTATTATATGTATACACTTTACTTGTAAGAATTTACACTGGATAGTAGAAAAATGGCGTTACAGATAAATCAGAGTAACAACAATAACGAAGGAACGACCAATTCTCGTTCTCGTTTAACTCGTGTTCTAATTAATCAAGTCCGCGACTTTGATCAAATCAATCGGAGAACCGACATTCGCTCTTGATGAGAGAAACGACCTCCCAGTCGTCTGTATTGTCAACTCGGATTTCCGTTTGCAACGCCATTCACATCCATCGTCGCGACTCCAAGCGCAACATAGCACAACAAAGCATCACACAGCAATAACAGCAACAACTGCCACCACTACGATAATGACACGCTACGACAAAGTACATACGAATTTATATCGTCGAACACTGGCAGAAGCAAAGAGCATCAATGCTGTATCTAATTTTTTCAGTGTGCAAGCCGGGTTGGAACCACAACAGCAATGGTAACTGCTCGCAACAATGCCCATCCGGAACCTACGCGGTCCGGGATCACGACAAGACCGGTGCGTTCTGCATCAAATGCCATTACTCGTGTCTGTCCTGCAAAGGCCCCAGCGACACGGATTGTCTCACCTGCCACGAGGATTCGGCGCTCATGTTGAGCGACAACGGAGAGCATTGCGTGCTGCACAACCTCTCCTGGAAGATGCAATCCACAATGTGGTACTACAGAATGACCGTGGTGTTCTTGACCAGCATTGCTCTGATGACCGTCGTCGTCGTTTATCTCGCGCTTGACTGGTACATCCGTCGACGCAAACGCGTCCACGAGTACAGCCAAGTGTCGTATACCGGCAACGGCGAGGCTCGCGCGGACATGAAACGATTGCACGGCGACACTTGCGTCTCCGACAGCGAATGAGACTGCCGTTCACGTCGGGAAGCGACGGGGAGATATTCCAGTAGTGATATTCACAGGAACACTTTCGAAAATATTCCGAGAACATTCGAACGATATTGCGAGAACTTTCTGGAAAATCGCGTGATGATATTATATCGGTACTCTCCGAAGGTGACTCGAGAATATTCTTATAGGGCGGACATTTTTTTTTTAGTTTTTCAGAACGTCTCACCAATATTTCCGAAAATATTCGGAATCCGGATTTTCAAAGTGCTTCCTAAAATTAAAGAGGAAATTCTGAAAACTACAGACTTTTCAGAATTGCTCCCGTTTTAATTAGGAAAATAGAATTGAGAAGGAAAAGGAAAGGAACCTTGAAAATCTAGAACTTTGCTGGAAAAATAAAAAAATTCTTGTGATTTTTCTTGACTAAATTTCCCGAGCTAAAGAATTTCGAGAATCTCCTGAAAATATTTTCTTTTAATTATATAATGTTCCGGGAATATTCTGAAACTGCTGCAAAAGAGCGCGTGGCATTTTTAGACTGACGGATATAAATATTTCGATCCACAAGTGCGATAAAATCATTCCCAAGTAATTTTAGTATAATTCTAACGAACATACACACACACACACACACACACACACACACACATTATACCGGTCAAAGGTCGAAATGCGTAGAAGGGTGAATAAGAAAGTTTTGAGAAAGATTCTCGCGAAGAAATCATAAGTATTCCTTTTACTTTTGTTCTAAATATTCAATAAATTTATCCGCTGCGCTCAGAATTCCGCCATCGAGCGTGGGAGCCAGGCCACGCTCCTGCGAGTGTGCAAGGAATGCTCCTTTTGTAGCGGCAATTCCTCGGGACGTCCGGAACATAAAGCGTTATTGGCGCTGATAGTTTCCTTTGAAACGAAGCGATCGCCACGTCGCGATGCCAGTATTGTAGCGATAGTTTGCAACGGTCAGTCCTTTATCGATCGCTGGGGTGAACTAGCGCGGAGTAATGTCTCTTGAGGCCAGTGAGTGATTCCACGCGATTCAGCGAGTCTTAAGTACTTGCGCGAACACATCCGGGCGTCTATTATGCGATCAAGAGTGAGAGTGGCGAGCGCTACCTTTGAATTGCGGTTAGTCGGCTACGGTCGCCAGTAACTTCGTGCAAGACGCTCGACCAATGATGAAACGTCGCGTGGCTTGTGTATTAAAGGGCGTATAAAGTTGCAAAAGACTTCTGTAGGTTAAAGGTATAGTCGCGTGTTGAAGACTAGAACTAAAGAGGAACAGCCGGCGCACCGAGGCTTCAACGCGGAAGAGGAATAACATCTCATTTATTATCTACGGATTCGCGAATCGTCGAGTTCCTAGGGTGGCGCGAGCAACACGGCGCGATTTAATTAACGAGATTGCCGCACCGTACAGTATATGAACGCACGGTGCGCGTCGTGCGCTGTAACCCAGAGCGGTGAGGGATCAACGTGATTTCTAACGATTGAGAACCGGAGAGAGAACGAATTACATTATGGTTGAATGAAAAAGAACGAGAACGTAGAGTTTTTGCGAGAGCGGTTTACCTCAGTAATGTGATACGCATAGTAAGGTCAAGTGTAGATAGCCATCATCTTTCTCTCATCGCCCGCTGCAATTACCCATAACTGTTACCACTAATCATTAATCTGACGCATTGACAAGCCGCGATGTACATTGTTCTTGTTAACGTTGTGAATTTAATAAAGCGATGAAAAATGACGGAGACGCCAATTTTTTCCTCGCCTCTTTTTCCACCCATGCCTTCATCGTACATCCCTCGACGCATCATTAAATCATCATCTTCGTAGAAAAAGACAAGCACGTAAAATTTTTCTTATGAATACTTTTTATCACGATCAGACCTTTTGTGTTTGACCGAGGCTGTCGTTTCGTTCTTAATTCGTTATATCGCGCGAATTAATACAGCTTATAAATATAAAATCAACTTCTCGGTTACGAGCAACGCACCTAAAGATACGAGTTAATGACGCAGCTTTTTTATTCTAATTTACAGCTTGACATTGAAGATCTTTCGGCGAGCGTGGCAGGAGTTAATGTCCAATACCAATATGTAGAAATTAGAGGTGATGGAATCTAATAGATTTAATTGCTGTAATATGTAGAGTATGAAATGTAGACACGAATTAAAGTAAAGCAATAAACGAACGAATTCGAGTATAATCTCTGCAATCTCTTTTGGAGCGTCGAGGCCACATTCACGTACACCGAGGAGAGATTATCATCGTCGATCGAGTTGCGAAAGTAATTAATCCGCAACGTAAGCAAAAATCGCCGGTAACGAGCGAGGGCTCCTCGTCGCGATCGGCAATCGACTGCTTATCCCAATCAGCGAACTTATCTCGCACAGTCGACAGAGGGGCTTCCCGTATCGCACAGACGGACCGGCTTTGCTAATTGTCGCCAATTAATACTCCCACTTCGGACTTGCGTCCTTGTTATTGAACTTCCAAATGGGAATCCAGCGACGGGATAAATGGTAAGTATGCATATGTGTACGAATGTACGGGAAAGGGGAAGAGGAGGGGCTACCTCTCCACGCAGTTTAGAACGGAAACGACGCTAAGTGGAATCGAAACACTTCGCTCAATAATTTCTACATATTTGTTTCGATCTGTTCATATATGTTTATGCGGGATACGCATTTATTCGCGCAAAGATTGCAATGCAACGTAATGGGAGACGCGAAAATTTACGCTTTCCGCGAAGTTGTTGATCTACCGAACCTCGCTTCTGACGCTTCTGTTTATTTGAATGTTTCATAAAGATCTGACGAAGCACAACGATGAGATCTATTTTCGAGAGTGAGTGAGTGAGTGAGAGAAAGAGAGAGAGAGAGACATTTACTGCCTGTGAAGAGCTGTCACGATCAATATTCAATGGAGCAATAAATATCACGTTTCCTCAGTGGATTTGTTATTGCGATGTATCGCTTCGTGCGTGGTTTCAAAACGGGACCATAGATACTTTTGATGTGTGTTGTAAAAAAAGTATCGAGTATAAATCGCGCAACGAACATGCGCATCACGTCACCTCATAATGCAATCGGTTACGAAAATTCAGTCGCACATGCATGGAAAAAAATCGCTCTGAATACGAACGACGAGCAGGTGAAAATTGAGAGAAGAAATATGGACGGAGCAACTCCCTCGATATCCTTTATTAATTTTTTACGTTGGAATAATATCTTGCAGACGTTGTGCTTTTGCAAGTCAAATGTATATGTTGTTAATCACGAGTCGGGCTTTACCTTATAATTTCACAACTCTCTTAAAAATATAATTTCACAAATCTCTTAAAAAAAATTCCACGAGATTGTATAAAGTAGGTATAATTCGAGTTACAATATATAAGGCGAGGCAATAATAATTATCACCTTGAATATCTTCGAAATGTGAGAGTAAGAAGAAAAATATATCCAATAGAAATTGCTGACTGATATCAATATTCATCACTTCGAACACCTTGGAAGCCATTCAATAATTACGTCACATCACGAGGGGGGGAAGTCTATTAATTTATATAACAGTCTGTGATGGCAGATGTGAACCTTCCTCACTTTCTTTCCCCTAGTCGTGAATAAAATATCGTTATTTCTTCAAAAATACCCAAAGTGGCAATAAATATTTCCTCACTCTGTATACTTTCGTTCTCCCCAAATGTGAACTTACATAGATACGTTCTACAAACCCGCCGAATAAATTCCAACGCGACGAATTAATACGCTTCGAACGATTATTCGCATAAATCGTTATTCAGCAGCCGCGTCCGATAATTAAGAATTATCGAGTGCGGCTATAGTGAAAGCAACAGCATCGTTGCTCTCTCGCGCGGTCCTCCACGGGTCTATTGCATCGGCTTCGCCGTAATTTATGAATCATAATTTCGTGCGTAACACGTCCGCACGGACATCGTCGGTCGGGGCGCTCTGGCGGCTAATAAAATTCTGCGCCGCGCTACCTTCTCTCCGCCGTGAAAAGCAAAATACGCCGAGAGAGCAAACTGCTGTTGCGTCTAGACGAACGGCGTTATCCTCGCCATGACGAGGGTGGAGCATAAAACGGCGGTTTTATATGGCGCGGCATCAAAATCCATGCTATCTTGTGAAACGGGAATATATCCGGCATCCGCAACATCCTCCCTGACGATTTCGCGTTTACATCGCGGTGCTTTTTTCAGCTATAAAAAAAATTGGACCGCGGCGAGCAGGAGTGTTGAGCGGTAACGCTGTGCCGAAGCCGACGTTCTTCCCGAGTTGTTAGTTCGAACTGCTCGTCATTCGATAGTTCGTGTTTCTCTAGCACTTTTCTTTTCTTAGGTAAACTATGTCAGAAAACTGAAAATATTAAGACAGCAGAATGGCTGACTTGTCGGTTTAAAACAACGTTTTGTGCCTTAAGTCTTTATCTTTACGTAACGCACAATAACTGTCCCGTGTGTTGAGTCTCAAACTAAAAAGCTGTTCTGTTTATGACAGGTGAAAACCGTTGTATGATAAAGAAGTAAACAAATGATAATTTAGATAAAGACTTAGGGCATATTGTCTGAAAATTATAAGTCAACCATTCTGCTGGGAATCTTAAGAATCCACAGGAGTCATTGTAGAGACCTCTCGCAGAAATCTCGGAACCCTTTGACACTGGTATCACATCAAATTCTCAGCAAACTATCGAAATAATTGACATATGTATATAATAATTGACTTTTAATATTCGTAATCAGGTTAATCATCCACAGGTCGCGACAGAGTGATTTTTTGCAAAAGAAAAAGTAAATAAAGAAAAGCACCTTTAAGCTTCGATCGCTACTCGATTTAAGATACTAAAGATCACTTTCGACCAACGTGTATCGCGATAGAGAGTTCAATTGGAATTACCGCCGAATGCTTCGTATTTTTCAATCGATCTATATTCTGACTACACGTGATTATTGAAAAATAATAGTCCGTTGGCGAGAACAATTGCAGCGGCGCTTCCGAGCGATTGTAATCGTCATGTAAGCGGGATGACGCAACCCGCTGCTTCTCGCCGCGTCTTTTCGCGAAAAGATTCACCGCCGATAACTCCTTTTCGTTCCTTTCCCCCGCGCCATGACGTGAAATAAGAAGGAAGTAATCGTCCGAAGGGGCGAGAGAGGGTGGCTACACAGACGCTTGGCAGAAAACCAAATTTCCGCCACCGCCCTGAGACGCCAGGAAGCTGTACGCGCACGTGTATCGCGTCGGTGTCCGTTCCTCCCCTCTTTCTCTCTTTCCCTCTCAGCGCAACCGCGAAAAATGAAAACCTCCCGTATTTCACTTCTCGCTCGTTAGCCGTAGAAAAAAGTTCTTTATTTGGCGACATTCCGCAATCCCTTAAGTAACCTTTACCCTCCGCTATTCTTCGACCAGCGATCTGCTCCCTCGAGATACGAAGGAGGTTGTACTTACGAATATATAACTCATTCCACCATCGCCAAAAATGCCTCTTCAACAGCTTCCTCAATTAATCTCCCATTTTCGCAATAAAACAATAATTAATCGACCCTCTATCTTCCGCTCTCTCTTTCTTTCTTTAATAATACTTATGCAACAACTTGATTCATGCGACGTTTTCCGCTCGATTCTCGCGGATCATCGTTTATGGTGAAAGAAAGCCCCTTCGTCTTTCTTTTTGCACACCGACGTCTTCACTTCACACTTTTACAAACACGCGCGCGTTACACGTTGTAACAGCCCACCAGAAAGGAACAACTACACAGCTACGTCGATTGAACATTAATCACTGATAAGATTCCTTAAATGTCGTTGCCGGTAATAAATGTCGTTCCGTTTATCTACTTTCCTTCCTTTCATACCGTCTGCTCCATAAAACTTGTCTGTTACGGTTAACAGTGTCGTATTTCACCCTCGATACATGCAAACACAGACAGTTACGTGCAAAGGACCGCGCGATAAATTGCGGAATTATTTATGATACGTAGGCAAAAATTTTGCGGGTGAACCAATCTGCACAATCAGGCCCGACTGAGACGTTATTAATAATATCGGCAAATGTGAATAAAAATTAAGGTCAGAAAAAATAATGGAGTTTTTATCTGTTGCAAAGTCTGTGTTCATCGGGCCAATAATGACAAATTAAGAATCGTCTAGACAATTAAACTCTCCGCACCGTTGATAATAATAAATTCTACAGTAAACGATGCTTTATCGCTTAATTTGGCGCGTAACTTATAATTATCTCGATTAATTAAATAGCTGGTACGAGCATCGCGTTGCAAGAAATTGCTAAAACTTGTTCTTCTTCGCTGAATCAGCTGCATTAATTTAAGAGATTTACGCACACTGAAGCGTGAGAATCTCGTGTGCTTCATATTAATGATTTAATGTATATGTAAATTTTTTGAGCCAGTTCAGCTAAAAGAACAGACTAATAAAGAATCGGCGCTCACGGTAACGAGACGTCGATAAACGTTGCTCATATCACTCGCAATATAAGACGGTTTTTGCTTAACGAATAATAACGACCCGCGCTCGACGTTGAAGATTGGTGGAAATGTTGGCGCGCGAAGAAAACGGGGCGAGCTTGTAAGACATTAGCGCAACGCCAGAAGTAGAAATAAAGAGCCCATTCGTTTCACACCGGCGAGGGTAATGTCACGACGACGAGAGGACGAATGTCCTTGCCGGATATACCCAGCCGGTCGATATTTTCGAGTACAAT